TAATTAATTCGGTTCAGTTCGGTTTGGTTCGGTTTCTAGATCACTAAAACCGAACTGAACCAAAAGAATTCGGTTCGGTTCGATTTTTTCGTTCCGTTCGGTTTTTTCGGTTTCGGTTCGGTTTGGTTTTCGGTTTTTTTCGGTTTTCGGTTTTCGGTTTTTTTAACCCACCCCTAATTATGGTGGTTGTGGATAGACTCTCCAAATATGCACATTTCATTGCATTATCCCATCCATACATTGCTGCTATAGTAGCTCAAACATTTGTGAACCATGTGCTTATATTGCGTGGTATGCCTACTACCATAGTGAGTGACAGAGACCCAATTTTCTTAAGTGCGTTTGGAAGGGGTTCTTCAAACTACAAATATCAAAACTGTGTATGAGCTATGGATATCACCCACAGAGTGATGCACAAACTAAAGTGGTGAACAGGTCTATGGAGACATATTTGAGGTGTTTTACTAGTGCTCAACCTAAAAGATGGCTTCATTGGCTTCCTTAGGCTGAATGGAATTACAATACCTCATATCACACCTCTACAAAGTTTTCACCACTTGAGTTAGTGTATGGTTACCCACCTCCTCACATTGCCACCTATAAGAGTGGTACTGCAAAGGTTGATTTGGTTGCAAGCGATAAACTATTGTCTATGCTGAAAACTAATTTGGAGGTAGCAAGAAACGAGATGAAAATGCAGGTGGATAAACATAGAACTGAGAGAGAACTTGAGATTGGTGATTTTGTCTATCTGAAGCTTATCCCTTATCAGTTGCAGTCTTTGGCATCTCATGCCTTCCACAAGCTACAATCAAGGTTTTATGGACCCTTTGTTTGAAGTAATATCAAGAATTGGACAAGTTGCTTCTAAGAACTCCTTGAAGGTTGTAAATTATGTTGGAGTTTTTTTTAGTAGAAAATCTCATTGTATTGTCCTACATTAGTCACCATCAAAAGTTTTCCACACTTCATAAGATTTTGTCCCTCTTACAAAATGATTGGAGAAGTGGACCAAGGAGAGCAAAATAGGGCCCAAACCTTGAATTTGAATTTTAGGGTGTGATATATAATATATAATTAATTATCAAAAGATGGGCTTGAGGCTCAACCTCTAATAATTAAATTTAATAATTATTTACTTTGTGACTTTTAGGTGAATAAGGGAAGTAGGCAAGGGGGGAGGCATTGGATAAGCTACAGTAGGCCCCACTTGTGTTGGTTGATGCTTACTAGTTTTAAGTTTAGCTGTTTGGTTTGGATTAAGTTTAAGTTTTTTCATTACATCGATACATTCAATTATGTATGACTTTCGGTTATGTTAATGTCCAATGATTTATTTGTTGTTTGTTTGGTTGCCATTGTAAGTTAGATTAGTAGAACCCCTAAACCCGAAACTTTTCTGGGGTGTTACACTTTCAAGCACACATTTCTGTTGCTTTCACACATACTACAAGTTTACTATTGTTGTGCTTTTGATGAAGATAAAAAGGAAACAAGGATTCAAACACCTTGAAAGGGTGAGGATGTGAAGTATAGTACCGCATTGCAAAGTTAAAACTTTGTAAGGGCTCATAAAGATTTGGGCGGACTCCCTTATAGCTAATTGGTTTTAGGCTGTAACCTTAACTTCCTTAAAAAATTGACTCCTTCAACCCGTCTTAATATGTAGACCATGACCATGTGTCATCATTGTTGTCTATGATGGATGTAGGGGACATGGGTGAAGCTACATGGGGACAAGGAGGGGCGGCCGCCGCTTCGGTTGCCTGAAATTGCCATTGAGAGTGAGGATTTTGCCCTTCTGGTCCTTTGAACTACCACCAAAATCTATTGTGCTACTTCACTGCTCCTATGTTTTATGCTTTGCTACTTTTGCATTTTATTTTTCAAATACCCAGGCCTCTTGGAATAAAAAAGACATAGACCGGAGTCGTTAAGGAGGGCTACTGTAGATTGCCATTGTTCTAAGAGTCTGTTAAGTTGTTTAATAGTACAAAGGAATTGGGTGTGTAGAGGGAGTCATGAAGGAATTAGTGCCATTTGTTGGCAAGACTCGAAGCTTGAATTAGGTTATCATAATTTTGTCATTTACAGTTAATTAAGCTAGTGACTTCTTGTATTGTTTCAGGGCGGAGTTGATCAATGTCTTTTCAACTAAAGCAAGCCGCAACATTTTAGTTCATGATGGGACTGTGTTAGTTACTTCGGTCAACTTTGCATCTTAATTAGAATAAAAGGGATAATCTTCTGCCTATAGGTGTGGATTACTTCTTTTAGTTTAATTAAGATGGCATAGTATGAGTTTTATTTCACAGAAGTTGTGAAAATCTTCATCTTGCCTACAGGTGTTGAAGTTTTTCATGAAGGTACTTTTGTGACATAAAATCTAGTACTAGAAACTAGTTAATTTTCTTCCCTACAGGTGTAAATTAATTTAGTTTCATGAAGTTTATTGGGATAAAGTTTCATGCCATTAGTGACAAATATTTCCACAATGAGCCCCATAAAAGGTTATGGTTTGAAGGCATGGAAATCGGTTGCATCATGACATATTTTGTGTCTTTTCATGAGACTTGTTGATGCAAAGTATTGGACCCATGAAGGTTAATCAAGGATTGCTAAGGTACGCATTGTTTAAATTTTATGCTTGTAAATCTTTTCAATTTGAACTATGATGTCGATTTAAAGGATGAAATTTGACTACTAAAGTTTCCTTTGGACATTGAAATTGAAAGGATATGAAATTGAATTTGTTATGGATGCATAAATTCATGATAGATGCACATAATTGTTTCTGGCAGATTGTGTGTCTTGATTTAAATTGAGTGAATGACACGTCTAATGGTCACCAAATGACCTGAATTTTGGATATGTTTAACATATAAACGTCTAATACGTTTTTGCAAATTTTCGTAATTTTTTTCCATGTTTTTTAATTATGGTGAATTTACTAGTAACCCATGCTCGTATAGGCAGTTTTACTGGCAGATTGTGTTGATCTTTTTGAGACATGACTTAGACTACTATTTTGACCCAAAACGGCTCTATATTTTTATTTTATGAAGATTAGTATGCCTATTTTGATCAGTATAACTTTGGTAGCAATCAAGCTTGTAAAGTAATTATGATAAATTCTAAAGTAAGTGTAACTCATTGCTGAAATTCTGTTTGAACTTTATGTTGGTTGAGATGTCTATTTTATTATGTCTAAAATATAGAGCAATTTTATTTAGGAACATCTTTGAAAGAATATATTAACGAGTGTTTGCCCAAGTGGGAGAATTAGTGAACGAAAATTGGGCTTCATACTCATTAAGTTATTTGCAAGTATAAACTTTGAAAACTTAGTGGGAGTTTTTGAGCATTAAGTGGTTTTACATGAATTTATTAAAGTGTTATTCTATCTTCCATGAATTTGTGTTACTCGAATAGTTTAAGTTGCACGAATGGCTACTTAGTACATGTGTACATATTTCTGTTACTTGCAATCATTTAGATTTCTCGATTGATCATATTGTTTTGGGGCTCATAAGGACTTAGCATAAATGTGGACTTATTAATACATATAAGATGGTTGTTGGATGCACGTTTTTGGTGTAAACATCAGTGAATGCTTTCATGCTTAGTTGTACCTTTCATTGAGGTAATATGCATTCATTTACTAAGTAAGGCTATTCCCAAACGCATATTTTCAAAATTGGGTGTGTAGAGAAGTTTCAAGTCATATGAGGCTCCATTTAAGGCCATTATGAGCCACGGCTAGCATATGATGGCCAAGAGGTATTTTTATGCGATGTTGAGTGAGGGAATAGAGCCCAATAGGTGTACTTATAAGTCACTTGGTCACGCACGTAAGGTGTATGATGAAACACCCCGCTCAACCGTCTCTCTCTTGAATCCCATGGTCAAGAGCTACAGTAGAGAGAATCCATGGGAAGATACCTTCTATCTCTTCCATAACATGATATCTGAGTCAAGAGGCAATGATGAAAAGCCCGATAATTTCACCATTCCCAGTGCTCTGAAGGTGTGTGCGAGGTTAAGGCACTCACATATGAGAAAATAATACATGGGTTTGTGAAGAAACATGACAAGGTTGTATTGAATATGTTCGTGTCTTATGCGTTGATTGAATTGTATTCCAAATGTTGAGAAATGGATGAGGTTGGGAAAGTATTTGACGAGTTTTCGCAACTGATTTTATTTTTATTTTTATTTTTTATGAAGCGCAACAAAAAGAGGGCAGAAGCTTCTACCCTTTTATAGCCCTCGCCTTGACAATTCCTAGTTTTGCCACTAGTAGGGGAGAAGGTGTATTACTCAGCCTCATTGACGGAATGGAAAAACAAACTTATATTTGCAACAATGGTACAAAATAAGCAGAGCAAGGGTGGATTGGCATCTTTTGCTCAGCTATAAGAAAAGGAGGTGCATTTTTCTTTAATTTGTGTCTACCCCCATCTACATTATTATGAATTTTCTGGGTTTCTGAATGACCTTATTGCAAGAAGCAAGGAACGCCGTATCATAGACTTGAACACATTTTTTTAGCCTCTATATGCCCCTCTAACAGGAAGACCGTCAGCATATATTTACTGAGTAAAGCGTGTGAGAATTGAATCCTCCTTCGAATGCCCTTGATTTGTTGATTTTATTATTATCTCTCTTGAGACAATTGGAATCTTGACAGCCTTGACATGTGATATAATCGATCTGTTTACACAAGCCCTATGTGATCCACTGACCTCGATCATAATTTCAAACGTTGCTGTAAAATTTACCTCTTAGGCTTGACTTTGGAAAATTACAGTTAAACAGAAATGGTCGAATTTTAGTATTGAAGTACTAGCGAGAGTTTATGATCAGTTCCCAAAATGAAAGGTTTTCGATCAAAGAACAAGAATAGTTGAAATTGAGTATATTATTACGTATAATTGATTTGATATTGTAAGATTTATACAAATATGTTTTTCATGTACAAAGTTGAAAAACATAAACATCTAGTGATTTAGGATGTTAAGGAGGGAGACTCTTGTTTTGATCATTTGCCTAAATAGGCTCTCAAGTCCTTCTTCCTGATCTTGAATGCATGACTCCAGCTTCTCAAGCTGGTTCTGCGTGTTCTCAGATTTGATTGTCTTATGTAGTGCAGCATCGACTTGTGCAAATTCATTTGCCTCAGTTTCTTCGTCGCATGCAACTTTTTTGGTGGGAACCATCTTGGAAACCAATGACCAGCTGCCTGGCTTTGACTTTGGCCCAGAGACGAAGAACAGAAGTGATTTGAACACTGTGAGAGTGATTTTTTCAACATCTCTCAACTTGCTAATAATGGCAACAGTCTCGTTGTCGTTGCTAGGAGAAGAAAATGTGGATTTTCTTTCGCTTCCCTTAAGATTCTTCATAGCCTTTTGGATTGCCTTTTTAACCATCTTCCTGAAGCTCAAGTATTTGTTAACCTCACTTGTGAGAGCTCCAGATTCCCCTCCTCGCGTTCTTCTTATGATCGATTGAAGATCCTGTACATATGCCTTCGTTTGCAAGACCGCATCCTTGGCAGTGCTGCAAACGTCCAAGAGTCTGAGAGAGCCATCTAATAGCTCATTAATCCATTTCTCATTCTGCTCCTGGGCCAAGGCTTGTTGAGTGAGGGGCAACTGAAGCAACTTATCAACACAACCATACAAGTCTCCGATGCTACTTAGGTTGTGGTTGATGGATATGGAAGATGTGGAGGTGGTTTCGGAAGACCTCAATCTAGACAACTGTTCATCAACTTGTTGAACGATCGGGTGTGGCCTTGAGGGGAAGCTGTTAGAGCGAGTGTGGAAAGCCATTGTTCTTTGTGATTTGAGAGAAATAGAAGAGAAGACTTTGTAGTTAATGTACAATTGAGATTGATGTGTTTCTTTCGATATGCATCTAGTTAATATATAGTGCTGGTTATTGGAAGGGGACACGGAATCTCGTGCACTTAAATGACAGCAAAAGGTAACACGATTTCGATTTCCATATATATGTTCCCAAGGCAATGTTTATGCAATGTCATTCCTACACCGGCATACCACCTCATTAGCTGATTTATTTTGCATAGAAAATTCCAGAGGACACTATCATAATGTAACAATCATCCATTCATAATTAACATGTTAGACAGCAATCATAAATTAAATAAGCCATAGCACGAGTGTCATTCGATCGGAGGCAAACACCATATAACTCAAAGATGCTGATCAACGTGTGTGATAACTTAATTATTCATCTTATTTTGCAGGTCCTTCACATGATTGTTTGCCAAGGAGGGGGCATGATCTACCAAATATGCATTTGTTTGTTTCATGCACGTGTTTCAATAATGTAGAAAAATGTAAGTTGTTTGGTTAGCAAACTAGATGAGTTGGACTGTTCCGTAAACACAGATAGAACCAGCTTAATTTTTCATTAGACAAGCTTTGAGATCTGAGTCTGCCATGTTATTAGTTCATTAGTTTTTGTCCCATTAATAATATATTTTGCACATGTTTATTATTTTTCATACAACAATAGTTCTAAACATGTGAATTATTGATTATATATGTTCCGTGAGACAATTTGATATGATCTGCGCAAATCCCATGTGACCTCATTCATACATTGTTATAACTCGAGCAAAGTTAACTCTGAGCTTTGTGTAATTTCGGGAAATTACAGTACTAATTAATTGATTTTCATCTTGTAATTTTGCGAAGTTATTTTTTGCATGAATTTCTTATATAAATATTGTAGTAATTGGAACATCCATAAAACAAATGGAAATTTAAGCGAAAGGGTGTTGGAAGTTTTGAGACTCTTGTCCCACATTGGGGAAAACAAGATTCTTAAGGGCCTTTATATAGATTTAGTGCTTTAGTCTAGTAATTAGAATATGGGCCATTTGGAAATGGATTGAAGGCTTAGGCCTTATGGTTGTGTGGATTAGGCTTGTATAATATAGCCTAAATACAATTAATATTAATTAATCAAGACAAGGGCCTTGGGCCATTTAAAATTAATCTGATTCATTTACTTTTAATTTTCAGATTAAGTTTTTAATTAATTTATTAATTAAAAATGTTTTGATTAAAAGACACAGCTCTTAGAAAGAGCTGTGTACCTTCAAATACACTGAACTGGTATTTGAAAGGGTGTGAAACAGCCTATATATCTGCAATCCATGGTATCCAAATGAATCATCTTTTCTTCTTCCTTTTCTTCCGTACAAACTTTCCAGAGAGAGTAAACACACAAAGCAATTCGCTAGAATTCTATAATCCAGTGCGGGTTATAGGATTAGGTAGTTGTATCATGGTCGAGCAGACGTTATAGAACCACAAGCACAAGAGTGGGACGTAATTACTGTTCGAAGGACATGGCTTTTACGCTAGCCTCTACCTTCTGTAATCAAGTTAGTACCGTTGACATTCTTATATTAATTTCTGTATTTATTGTATACTTTTCATTCTGTATAGCAAGTACCTTTTGTGAAATAAAAATTGTGAATTTCAAGTTCTGTTTATTTCTGTTATTCTGTTTATTTCTGAATTGTTCTCCAACAGAGAGTATATCTTTTGTATATTTCGATATCCAAAGTTGAATACATTTACCAAGTTTTTCATGTACAAAGTTGAAAAGCTAATATCTAGTGGTTTAAGATATTGAGAAGAGAAACTCTAGTTTTGATGAGTTGCCTAAATGGGAACTGGAGGCGTTCTTCGTGATCTTGAATGCACGATTCTAGATTGTCAAGCTGGTTGTATTCATTGCCTGAACTTTGGAGATGAGATTAGCTTGTCTTGTGTCCAACGACTGACTGCAATCCAGCATCCACCTTTGAGAAATCATTTACTTTTGTTTCTTCCTCGCAAGCTACTCTTTTTGACTGTATCATCTTGGAAACGAGTGACCAGCTGCTTGGCTGTGATTTTAGCCCAAAGATGAAGGACAGTAGGGATTCAAACACTGCGACAGTGACTGCTTCAACATCTCTCAACTTGCTAACAATGGCTACTGTCTCGTGGTCATTGTTGAGGGAGGTGGAATCCCATAGATTTGTTGATCGATTCCCTTGAGATTCATCATAGACTCGTTGATTGTCTATGTCACTGTCTTCCTAGAGGTAAAGTATTTCTTGACCTCACTGGTAAGTGATCCAGATTCACCTCCCTGTGTTCTTTGCATGATTGATTGAAGTTCTTGCACACAATCCTTGGTTTGCGAAAGGGCATCCTTGGCAGTGCTTCAAACATCCAAGACCCTGAGAGAGCCATTTAATATCTCATTAGTCCGTTTCCCATTCTCCTCATGGGCTAGGGCCTGTTGAGTGAGGGGCAACTGAAGCAACGTCTCAACACATGTGAAGATTGAAGAAGAAGCTTGAAGAAATCGAAGAAGCAACCGTAAAGTTTGCAGGAAAGAGAGCTTGAGAGTGTCGGAAGATGAAATTGTATTTCCTTGATGATCAAGTAATCTTACACTTAGCTATATGTATTGGTTTATTACATGGCTTGTAATATAAGCTAAGACTATGGATAATATTCTCTTATAACTTCCTTAACCACTTTTAACAACCTATAACAACTCTGTAACAATCCTTATAACTCCCTATATTATCTTGTGACAAGTGGCAATAGCTAGACCCCTGATATATCTTCACTTGGATCCTTAGCTTTGTCTTTGTCTTTGCTCTTACACCCCCTCAATCTCATGCTTAAGTGAACTGAGCATGAGATTACCACAATGTTGCTGAAACAAGAGTGTAGACAAGCCCTTAGTGAGTATATCAGTTGATTGATCTTCAGAAGAAACATGATGTACATGAAGATCTCCTCTTGTAACTCTAGTCTAGCTTAATGTGTTTAGACTGAGCATGAAACACATGATTAGTGTCACGCCCCGATCCCGACATACGTCCAGGATCGACACGTGACATCACCAAATACTTGTATAACTCACATATCTCGTCTCTGGGATATGGCAAATCACAATTCGAGAATCAAATTACAAAGTAATTTTTCGTTTACCTTATGGCTGCATCTAACCTCCTTGTTAGACTGCATACGTACCCTCAATAGGGATCAAGCCATTCGTAGTTCACTTATCACAAAATCAGACATTTATTCCACTAAGTTCAAGCAGAAAAGCATAGCATTCCTCAATCATTTATTATAACCTGTCAACATGTAATTCCTGGACTCAGGCTACATAACCAATCCCCATGAAAACATGATTTCTCTCCCATCCAACATATAAATCATTATGTCTCATCATGATATCGCAATTCACAACACACATCATATTTAAGAGCCGACGAAACACTAAACCATTCTCTAGCCGCATTAATTAATTAATTTGATCAAGTACATATCTTCTAAATTCATACCTTATGAAATCATAATCGAATCATAGAAAATCCCGAAGGAGTCACCCAGACGTCCAACATCTTTTCTAACTCAATTCACAAGACTCTCGAAACCATTGACACAAATATATATAAAACTAATGCTAGAGTGACACAGTTAGGCCAAGCCTACTCCTCCAAATAATGGGATTTTAGGTCGCTCCACGAAATTCAACAACCTCAGGTTCCGGACTACTCAACGGAACCAACCCAAATATGATCGCCTATAAAATGTACCAGGCACAACCAATCATCATCACCTCTAGAATGTGTATGGTCCCCCATTGCGGATATACCAAGCAGAACTATAGGCATAACCTCATTGTGTAGATAATGATCACCCATTGCGGATATACCAAGCATGATCACCCCTGAATACATATGGTCCCCCATCGCGGATATACCAAGCAGGACCACATCCTAGCTCTAGGTAGTGACCACCCATCGCGGGTTAACCAAGCAGGGTCAAGATAACCAAGTAGGTAGTGACCCCCCAACACGGATTAACCAACCAGGCCCATCCATGTACCACGGCTACATGGTGCAGTTAGATCAACACACAAACCACTTACCCTTATCTCATCCACTATGATTTACATCGTAATCACTTGCACTATCAACTTCTCATGGGCACTATCTTATCATACAAGCATAAAAGTTCTACGTAAACTTCTCATAAGATTTTGGGTTCACATCATCATAAAAACAATCATTCACATCATACATATCTAACCACATTTCATAAACGTTTCCAAACTACAGTAGATTCACAGTTACTAAACATAGATCGATGCTAAAAATAAAAATAACAATTCAATAGGAAGCCCATTTAATCAACAAGTATAACTCAATATGGTGTCACTAATACATATATTCGAGACACACGTCAACTAGGAACGACATGTCATCGTGATGAGCCAACTAAGCTCCATTAAGCCTCAACAACATACTAGAGGTAAGCAACCTCAAGAGTAGAGCACATTGACTAGAACGTCAACCGTCGATAAGGTAGGTCCATTAAGGTCAACAACCTAAGGTTATTCAATCTGGAAGATCCGCACATCGGATTTCCAATCTGTAAGTTCTCAAAGGTCCAACAACTGATAACTAGGGTGTTCACAAAATTGTACGACGAAACAACGATCAGATTGTCATCAATCATACAAACAAGTGGCGGTCCAATTTAATCACCACCCCAAACAATTGAATTTCGAGAAACCGAGCTAGACATAGGTTCACAGGGTCACTAGAAGGTATTTGGTACTTAGACAACACTCATGGACGGTCTCATGCACCGCCACACACGGTGGTAGCCAAGGTGGAGGGTTTGGAAACCCCAAATTTTCAACATTAACTAAATGAGCTCAAATTTACATGGTAGCTAGAGCTCAATAAGGGAAACACTTTTCACAACTAGGCTGA